CGAATTACGACTACTGCCTGGTCCTCGACCAGCGATGTAGCGTTTCTCCGGCTACTTCCGCTTTAAGTGGTCAAGTTACGACTACTGCCTGGTTCTCGACCAGCGATGTAGCGTTTCTCCGGCTACTTCCGCTTTAAGTGGTCAAGTTACGACTACTGCCTGGTTTCTCGACCAGCGATGTAGCGTTTCTCCCACTATTTCCACTTCAAGTGGTCGAGTTACGACTACTGCCTGGTCCTCGACCAGCAACGTAGCGTTTCTCCCACTACTTCCACTTTAAGTGGTCGAGTTACGACTACTGCCTGGTCCTCGACCAGTGACGTAGCGTTTCTCCCACTACTTCCACTTTAAGTGGTCAAGTTACGACTACTGCCTGGTCCTCGACCTTCCACTTTAAGTGGTCGAGTTACGACTACTGCCTGGTCCTCGACCTTCCACTTTAAGTGGTCGAGTTACGACTACTGCCTGGTCCTCGACCAGCGATGTAGCGTTTCTCCCATTATTTCCACTTCAAGTGGTCGAGTTACAACTACTGTCTGGTCCTCGACCAGCGGTGTAGCGATTCTCCTACTACCTCTATTTCAACAAAGTTGATAGCAGGTACACAATATCGCCAAGTGTTTTACCCAGAGATCCCTTACCACGACGACACCTAGCGTTGAAACCTATCCTACTGTCCCTTTACGCCGTCTTGACAAGGCCTCCGAGGAACCTAAGGGATCTTCGGCTGGGGACGCCCAGAGCCGATAAGGCCTTGTCGGATCCTTCAGAGACGAAAGACCATGTAAGATCTGGTCGTGTAAGAGTTCTCGCCGTGCGTATTAACCAAGCCGTGTAATCGGAAATTAACTTTCCAACTTCACGACTGGGGGCTAGGATCAGTGCTTATTCAACCAAGGCAGGTCAAGGGTCCAAGAGCCTTATCCTTCGAGAACGATTCTCCGACGACAAGACTGGGGGCTAGGGAGAGTGTATGACTCTACAAACTGACTGATCGGAGTCGGTAAGAGAGAAGACGCTCATATAACAAAACACTGGTTTGTACATTCAATTCATTAGTCTGTCATATTATAACATGTTACCCGTAGAGCGTTCGCTCGGGGGCTATTTCTATTTGATATTCTTTTCTGAGTATTGATTTCAGGAAAATTCTATTCGACATTGACGAGGGCTCCATGTCTCTATGGTTCTACACCAAGATCGACTAAGGCGAGTACGACCAATGTTGACAAGGCTCTGTCGCAGACTCTACGCCTTCTCGATTGCTCGAGAACGGTTGCTGGATCTCGACAAGGAATATGGAATGAAGAGATGGTGTACCCGCCGAGATAAAATTTCTTGACTTCAATCCAAATTCTCGATTACAGCAAGACGAGAGACTTAGTCGTACGCTCTGTACTTTCTCGGTCGACATCAGAGATTAAATTAGACAAACCCTTTCGGTGCCCGCACGAGGCTGATAAAGGAAGTCTAACGTTATCTCTAAACTCACCGAGAACGGTCACGTGAGCTCGATAACAGTTACTCCATGGTCAGCGGTCGAGAATATGAATTCGTTCATTTGCATTAAAGTCGGGGGCTACTGTCAGGATTATGGATACCACATACCTAATAGTAGTTGATTAAATCTCAGCAGGACCCATCACATACCATGTCCTATACGGAAACTGACTTCAGATATGGTGAGAGTTCCGGATAAGGAAAGACAACCAGAGTTCTACATGGAAACGACAAGGACTACTCGGATTGTATCCATATTGGTTTCCCTAGTTCTACTTGGACAAGGGGACACCTATGGGTATAAATACAAGCCCCCCTAGGAGGACAGGGGGACACCCACCATGGGGCGATCAACACAGACAATCAACGGCCTCAATCAACACCCAACACAATACACGGGAGAACATACAAGCCTACATACGCCAAGACAAGCCGCCGGATATCGATTTCAGGGATAGGCACAGCTAGTCTCCTACGGTGTCTCCAGATACAGTCAGGAGAGACGAAAGCGCTATCTCTGATCTCGCCGAGCACGGATTCGAGGAGGAAAGCTACCCTGTTGTCGACTACGAGTCAGACCTTCAGACCGACATGTCAACAATAATTAGATAGGCTACCCACATATTGTACTGGTGTGATTATGGTGAATAAAAAGCAACATCGGCTCCGGCCAACAGGATGTAGGGCTATTACCTGACCGCTCAGGGACCCGAACCTGTATAAAAATCCATGTCCCCATCTCTTTTACCTCAGTCTCGCATATATCCTAGCACCGACGATCCCCATACTGTCCAAATACCGTAGTCGAGACATCAAACATCGACACTTTCCACAATGTATATGGCTCATTTTACAATTGCAACCATTGCCTTAAGGTCACCTTTTTTATATACATCATGGTTGCCTTTAATTAGTATTGTTTCAACTTTAATTTAGTCACTGATACACCCTCATCCGGGAGATGCATTCATAGTGAAGTGTTTGGAGCAGCTTGTATGCACCTCAAAACTTAGGGTGTGTTTGGTTGGGCTTCTCAACCTGCTTTTGCTTTTGCAAAAGTCAAAAGCCAACCAAATGGCCTAAAAGTCATAAGTGTTTTTCTCCAAAGCTACTTCTAGTGCAGTGCAAATCCAAAAGCATCCTCTACCTCTGCTTTCAGTGGTGGCTTCTGAGGGAAAAAAAAAAACCCCCAAGTTCAAGTCTCCCCGCGCACGCTCACCATTTTGCCTAGTTTTGACCTGCTCATATAAAATATTTTGGTCCTTGTTTGTTAAATCCATTGACATTGAGCTCTTGATGTGTAGGTTTTCTCGGTTAACGTTACATGTCGATCTCGATAAAATTAGAAGCGGATCAACTTTAACCATTAATTTTAAAGCTATACTCAAGTTGAGTAGTTTGAAATGTAAAATACTTGAAACTACTAATAAAATATTGTACAATTAACATTTTTTTGGGTGTGAGGATGGTTGGTGGGAGGTTGTTAAATTTTGTAATGGTTAGATCATGTTTTTCCTTTCCGGGAAGCTGGAAAAATTTCGGTGGGCACCAAAATTCTGAAATTTTGGATTTTTTTTCAGAAAAATTCTAGATATTCCGAACTATTTATTTTTTGAATTTTTAACTTTTTGTTAGTGAATTTGAATAAATTATGATCAAATTCATAAATATTTGAAAAAGGGGGAAAGTTTCACTCAAATATTTGCTTGCCAGAGGAGGGCAAAATTCTGAAAGTACCGGAATTTCGAACCGAAATTTCCATCCCTAGGTTAGAGTACATGACCGAAAACTTGGTTGTGTAAATATATATGTAGGATGCAATTCACTATGATAACAGAATACATATTTACATATTATACAAAAAAAAGGTGATTGTAGTTTAATTATGAACAATGTCCATTGACAAGTATTTGGGAACTGAACGAGTATATTAAACTTTCCCTTCTTTGGTAAAATTTGCTACATGACACTAAATTTTGTGTAATTTGCTAGTAGACATTGTAAAAGCATGTCACCACTGAAAGACGCTTAAAAATGGGTAATTTGTTGAATGACACTTTCGGCTCAATAGAAGAGAGAATTTCTTTAAAAAGATTTACTTGGGTGAAGATGCAATATAATAAATTATGGTCAAAAGATTTTGAGCTGATACTAAAGTGAAGATGAAATATAATATATACTAGTGATGTACTTGGGTGTTGATAAATTTAGAGTTGCATAATTTCTAATTTTTTTACTCTAACATTATGTTTGAACTTTGAAACACGTGATTCTAGGGGTGTTCTTGTCTTTCCCAACAATTTATCTCTCCAATTGAGTCGAAAGTGTCATATAACAAATTATCAGTTTTTTGGATATCTTTCAGCCATGATATGTTTTTTCGATGTCTATAAGCAAATTACACAAAAATTAGATGTCCTATAGCAAAATTTGACTTCTTTAATCGCCATCACTTGGAAATAAAGGCAGAGAGAAATGATGTCAGTTCGAGCCATTCTGAACATGAACGCGGAAATTCGTAGATAACAGTTCGTTTCTCGTAGTCTCACGTCTCAGCAGAGCTTATTAGTAGGTGTCTTCGAGGCTCCATGCCCCATTCAACTCCATTACGCTAGGAAATGAAATAGTTGAAATTGCAGCAGTGGCAATAAGCAAGTAGAACTTTCTAGCTATAATCACGCAAAGCAAACACATGTGACATGTGGCTCTAGTCTAATCAACAAAGACACAAAGTCCATGCACAAACAACGGCCTAAGTTTTCACGGAAGAAACAGAATCCTGTAAAAACATATACTCCCTCCGTTTCGAAATGTTTAACGCCGTTGACTTTTTAGCACATGTTTGACCGTTCGTCTTATTCAAAAACTTTTGTGAAATATGTAAAATTATATGCCTACATAAAAATATATTTAGCAATGAATCAAATGATAGGAAAAGAATCACAAAAGTTTTTGAATAAGACGAACGGTCAAACATGTGCTAAAAAGTCAATGGTGTCAAACATTTAGAAACGGAGGGAGTAGCTTCAATTCAGATGTGCTGTACAGCAAGTTCCACTAAAAGGTAGTCATAAGTATTTTGCCACTTTCATCAGTCGGTCCAGTTGATTCAGCAGCTAGCAAGAGAGTTCTGGTGCAATTCTGAACTGTGATGCATAATTCATCCTTGTACAAACTAGTAGGCAACTAGTAGGTTGGCTGTTATTTCTGTTGTTTAGCATTATTCTTCTCAGTGACTTCCTGTTCCCCCCTTTGCATCCATTTGCATCAAAATGGCACCAGAACTCTGCTTACCGCTGTATCGATCACTATCACATATGCTGGAGTGATTGCTTCAGTTATCTAAAAATCATCATCACCTATAGAATCTTTCCAGGTTTGATCAGCAATCCTGGCACTGTGGTGAAAGTATGTATATGATTGACCTGAAAATTTACCTGTATTGATTTTCTCATATGTCATGCGTAATGCTGCATCTGAGGATAAAACTCCTGAAAATGTTAGTTGTGTAAGGGGGTAGTCTTTATATATGCAGTTTAGAAGATCAAAAGATCATTCAAAAGGTATATAGCTTATACCATGGCACAGTCTATAATACAGACATTTATCAAAAGTGGAGATACTACAATTAAATCCTTCCACCGTAGGATCAAGTTAGCTGACTATAGCCCTACAAGAGGAGCTATATGGGAACATACCAAAGAACATCATCCTTCCTCGCAAAATAGCATTGTCGAAAGAAGGGCGGCAGCTCAGGATGATGCAAAGAGACATTCATCTATCGATGGATAGTCCATCATTTCGCTGCTAAACTCTAGATCATCATACCAGTTACTTTGTAGTCCGGATAGTATCATTGCGTCACTGTAGTTTAGTAAGTCAATGCTACTCAGTCCTATATTCTCAAGGGAGACACCGTGAAGTGGATAACTGGGTAAGTCCTCAGGCAGAGAAGCCAACTCTGTGCTGCCTATGATACTTGGCTCTTGCGAAGGACGCAAACTTCCTTGGCTGTTCGTCTGATCAAGGCAACAATCTTTAATGCTGGGCAACCCGTCCACACCGGAAGACTTCAGGTCACCGTCAATCGAGGTCACCACACTGTCGCTAAGTTGAACAGAAACTGAATCCACTGTACATGTCAACGCCGGTGATAAGGACTTGATGCAGTCCATAATAGCTGGCTTCACGTCTGAGAAGTCTCTGGCATCCCCCTCCATACCGCAACTCATTGAGATAAGAGGTGGTGGAGCATACAGATTACTAGGGCCAACTGGGTGTTCTAAGTCTGGCTTTGGCAGGCATGAATAATCCCCTAATAGGTCACAGCGTTCATGGTTATGCTTTGGATACTGCATGAACTGCTTCGATGGAATGCCTCCGGTCCAGGCCTGGCATTCCAAGATCATTGTTTCTGATGGCTTCCTGTCCTGATTCACCGGCATGCTTTTGAAAGACAGAACCCCACCTAAACTTGAAGCACTGGTGACATTCTGTGAGTCAGCAGCATCACTTGCTAGAGTTCTTTTTTTATCTGGCACAGGCAAGGGCACTGTGCTCTTGGTGTCCTCTAGCTGAGAATCTAGCATGTTGGCCTGAGTTTGTATATTCTGAGAAGCATGCGGATATCCATTTGCTATGTTGCTTGGTTGCTCTTGGAAGGAACTTCGGAGGTTAAGGTTTTCTGATGTTCCCTTGTGACTGAAATCTTGCCTAGCAGCGCCTAATATCCTTTCCTCATTCTGCTTTTGCAACCTACTCAGGTAGAGGCGATATTTCTGCACAGAATTAATTTTCTTCTTAGAAATACTACAACTATACAATCATAGTAAAAGCAGCTCAACCAAATGATCATCATAATTAACCACAAGTCCAAATAAGGTAAGGATGCAATTGATTGAGTTAAATGTAGATTGCAAATGAGTTTTTTAGGGTTTAAGAGGAAGCTATTCAATAACTATGTTCCTACAGAAGAACAGCATTAAGAGTTTAGCCATGAATACATCCAAAAGTCTATCATGTTAGAAACTCATTGTATACATCCAAAAGTCTATCATGAATACACCATAGCATCCCTTTCTCTGTCAGTAAACTATGAATCTTCTTTGACCTATAGTTCTAGGCAACCTCTGATAGAGGCGGTCTTCTCTTATTAAAAGGATTATCCTTATTGCACTAGAAAGTCTGTGTATCAGATTAAAATTTGCATTTTCTGATCTTCATGTGCCTTATTTCTGAATATTGCAAAAATATTGTCATAACAGACCAGGTACTGTTGACTGGACCAACAGATCTCTGTGCAGTTATCTGAATTCAGTGCTTCCAGTCTAAAATCTTTCAGTCGCTGTAACTGACTGTTTAATATGTTACGTCGAAACTTGGCCCCTTTTATAAAAGAAAATGAAACATAGCAGTTTACTGTTTGAACATATATGTCATACCTGTAGATGGCTAGCAACGTTTTCTCTTGTTAAGCCAGGAACATTCATCAAGTCCAGTATTTTCTTTGGTCCAACTTCTGCAAGATAGCATCAGTTGCTCTTTCGGAATGAGATTATATGACATAGAAATTTGTAGAAAGGAAAAGGGAAATGAATCAGTTTTTGGAGAACACTCACTGTCAAATCCAATTTGGTTGACAGCATTTACGAACTTTTGGTGAAGATCAACAGACCAAACAACTCTAGCCTTTTTAACAGTGTTGCCATCGCTTGACTCCTGATCTGCATGGTCTTTGTCCACATCTTTTCTCTTCCTCATGGTATCAGAGTCAGATCTCATAAAAAGGCTCTTCTCATCCAGTCCCTCAAAACTGTTTCTTAGTATTTGAAGATCGTCGCAGCTATCATTACCTTCGATCTCTTTAACCTCATGCATTTTCTTCCTATACACGTGCTGCCAAATATTGCGGAGCTCCTTCATTCGAACAGGTTTAAGGAGGTAATCACAAGCACCATGCTGGACACCTTTCATCACCCTACTTGTCTCACCATCAATGGACATCACTGTGGAAACAGAATGGAGCAATTTAGTACTTTCTTTGAATTGATATGCAAACCAAATTTGTTAGTTGGAACATGCAGGGAGAAAGACTTTGAGCTTGAATACGGACTTATAACAGGAAGATCCATCTCAAGTCCAATGTGTTCCAGAAGCTTGAAACCATCCATATCAGGCATGTTGACATCGCTAATTACAATGTCGAACTTGTTTTTCCTCTCCCGGAGAATATCCAGAGCAACTCTTGCCAGGCCACATGTGGTGACTGCAGAAGGTAACTGATCACTTCAGTCTTAACTGTCTTGAATAATTCATGACTAGTAGGAATATAAAAATAGGTGTGTACAAAACAGGTTTTTCTGGAAGAGGAAGAATGGGAAAGAGACCATGATATATCGGATCAGCAGCCAAATTTCTTGAGAAGCAGACCATTCAGTGGTTATAAACCGATAATTGGTGTGCCAAAGGAACCAATAAGTGTTTTTCAAATCGAATCTACATAGTCACAAGAACAAAATATGATATGCTTGCTAGTTCACTTGGAATCTTTACCAGCTTGGAAACCAATTACTGGTGCCACAAAAAGTAAAGAAATTAAATGGTCTGCAGGACTGCAAAAGTGAGAAAATGAGACAGTAACTAAGCCTTATGAATTTTAGTACTTAGTAGCAATCCATCTAAATAGCTAAATATTCATCATTTTGCAGTTGACAAAGCCTTGAAATGGATATATTTGTTCCATATTGTGCTAATGGACCAGGTGCAGCTCCCACTCATAACAGTTCACAACACAAAGTTTGCGAATTATGTCAATGGTACATACACCTCCTACCTGTCTATATGAGCAATAACAGAGCACATGAAGAAGCCAATAAAGTCAGGGGAAATTGCCGACAAAAATCTACAGAAGAAAATTAATTCCCCGGACAACCTTAGTATAATCCAATAATACACAAGTACCATGTACCCGATTTAAGTTAGCAACTAGTCGCATGAGCGAGTTCGCTTCTCAAACGAACTCTCGCTGCGTAATTTGAACAAACACACGACTTGCATAGATAGCGGAACCACGCGCGCGCACGCACGCACGCACGCCCCCAACAGCCCATGTTCCTCTTAGCCTCTGCCGCGGCAAAGCAATCAAAGCTCAAGAACCAGATGGGAAAGCAAAAGATTCCAACCTTCGTAGGAACACTTCCTGAGCATCTTCTCGAGGATCTTGAGCCAGGTGGGGTCGTCGTCCACGACGAGGACGCGCAGCCCGTAGGGGAAGGCGGTGGCGTCCATGCCCGCGCTCAGGCCCAGCCACCCCTCGCCGAGCCCTCGCAGGAGGAGCGGGGAGAGTGGGGGGTTGGGAGGGAGGGAGAGCAAGACGGCAGTCGGCAGCGGGGGGGAGAGGCCTTGTAGTGTAGCGCCTTTAAAAAGCGGTAAAAAAGGGTGGGAAGTGGAGGCGGAGGAGGAAGGCTGATAAATATTGGCGCCTTCGCCTTCACTCCCGTTGGCTAACGAAAACCCCCCCGATCGACTTTATTCCCCCTCTCGCTCGCAAGCACAATCTCGGTTCGCGTCTCTGTCTTTGCCCCTCGCGGCTAGTAGGCTTTGCGAGTGAAAATAATGGTTTTTTTATTTTTTTATTTTTTGGCTTTCGAATATGGAACTTGTGTTGGCCTGTGGAAATGGAAGTGAGCCGTGACCGGTCTTGATCAAGTGGTGGAATATGAAGTGGTGTTGTGTGTTGCTTTTTTGCTGGTTTTGCTCTCGTGCTTTTCGTTTGGAAAAAAATTAGTTAGTAGGTAAGGGCTTAGTTAATTCAATATTGCAATTTGGACGGGGCGAAAGAGCTATTAAGGATTTGCCTTTTGTGTGGTTATTAATGCTAACTGGCCAAATTGTTTGCGTGGTTGTGCGTAGATGCTTATTCGTGTTTATATCTAGTGATGAAATTGTACTTAAAATACAAATTTGTGTCAAGTACAACTTTAATAACTTTGGGGGATATACTGACATAGCCTAAATGTTTGTCTTTGACTGAAGCCGTAATTTTTAATCTAGTACATGAGGAAGGTAATAGAAAAAAGTTTTGTACCGCTAGTAAAATACTCATGTGTTGCAATGAAATTTTAAATAAATACTTGTAGTTTTACTAACTTACAGACTTGAAATCCATACATATTTATCAAGAAAAAAGTTTGCAATTGAACATCAGCCGATAAATAACTCCCATGCACAGACTATATAAATATCTATAAAAAATCCGTCAACTCAAGAATAGCTTAATCACTTCCACCACTATGGATTGTGGTATCTTGGCACAATATAATATATAATATTTAGAGAGAATCCATTATATGCCATTGAGTTTGTCATAGATCTACGATTTGCTACTGGCTTTATCACGTTTTATAATATACCATCGACTTTTGCTTAACTTCTACGATTTACCATCGCCGTCCGGATAGTCTCCGTTAGTACTGTACACATTTGTCGAAATGACCAAAATACCCCTGGGGCAAAAACTTTCAAAATTTGGATAAAAGTTCTAAAATATCAGATTTTAATTTTGTGGCCAAATTTTGGATATTTACAATCTTATGTTTATAATATGGTGTGTTGGAATTTTTATCCAAATTTCAGAAGTTTTTGTCCGAAGGGTATTTTAGTCATTTGGACAAAATTGTATAGTGCTAATGGAGACTAACCAGACGACGATGGTAAACTGTAGAAGTTAAGCAAAAGTCGATGGCATATTGTAGAACGTAACAAAGTCAGTGGCAAATCGTAGACTTGTGACAAAGTCAATGGCAATGGATTCTCTCTAATATTTATTATCTCCTTGGTTGCAATTGTTGTGCCATGTCAGATCCACTTAATTCATAGTAACATTGATCGAAAACACTAGCAAAGAAATAAGTAAAAGATACTAGTTTGCCAAAAGAAATTGTAAATTGTCAAATTGTTGTGCCCCTGCACGTCTAGATGCTCAGACGTGTCTGTATTTGATAACAAAGTTGTACTTGCCAAACATATATTGTGTTTATTGAAAAAAGTTACGGTTGTGTTTTTTTACACCTCTAACGGCTTTTTAAAAAGCACGTTATCTCTAAATGTGCCACGATATATAAGCATATGTGTCGACGTTTCATGTCGCGATTTCGGTATTTGCATAGTATGGGGATTGTTGGTATTAGGATATATGCAAGACTTAGGTAAAAAAGACGGAGGTGAGGATTTTTATACAGTTTCGGGCCCCTGAATTGTCAGGTAATAACCCTACTCCTGTTGGCCGAAGCCGGTCGTTGCTCTTATTCAACATAATCACACCAGTACAATATTTGGGGTAGCCCATCTATCTGTTGTCGACTTGGCGGCCATAAAACCATCCCGTGGTTGACAACATAGTAGTCATCCTCCTCAAATCCGTGTCCGACGAGATCAGAGAGAGCGCTAGATCCCTCCTGACGGTAGTCGTAGGAACCATATGGGAACTACTAGGCTTATCTCTGACATATAGCGTCTTGTCTTGGCGTATGTTGGCTTATACGTTGATCTTGTGTCTTGATCTATTGTTCCGTGTCTCCCCTACTCCTAGGGGGTCTTGTATTTATACCCATAGGTGTTCCCTTGTCCAAGTAAAATTAGGGAGATCAATATGGATACAATCCAAGTAGTACTTGTCGTTTCCATGTAGAACTCTATTAATAATTCCTTATGCGAAACTCCTCCTATATCTGAAGGTTGTTTCCGTATAAGACATGGTATGTGGTGGGTCCTGCTAAGATTTAGTCAACTACTATTAATTATGTGGTATCCATAACCCTGACAATATGAAAGGGTAAAAAGAAGGTTTTATTCTGCCACTTGCCATAAATACCATAAATTCTACTTGGAAAAATAGTTATATAGAAAAGAGCCCCACTGCGGTGCTATCTACTAGTTGTATAAAGTAATATAAACTGTTAATCTCATTTGATCCAAGCGTTTAAATTCATTTGTATTACAACTCCATACAACGGTAGTAGAAATATGAAGGAGCATTATTATCGTTAAAAAAGTGTGGAGGGTATAATCATCATTAAGCAGTGACTAAGCATTTTCCTCTTCTTTCTTCGCTTATTTCGATGGACTAGCCTAAAAAAATAAATGACAAAGCTACTCTGATCAATGTACTCCCTCCATACTAAAATAGAAGGGTTTTTGTTTGAACGAGACATATCCTGATAAACCAAAAACCCTTACATTTGTTTGAATGGAGCTTTGCAGAGTCACTAGAAAATTTTGTGGCCCCACTAGCTAGTCTCTGAAGAAGAAAAAGATCTCCACGCACGGCTTATCCTATAGTTGCTAGAGTTTTTTCGGTCCGTACACGTAGCTGCACCCCTGAAAGATACTCTCTTAATAATGCCGTGAAACTTTAAATATAGGTCAAAATGTGCCTCCTTTGAGCAAAGCACCGGTGCTATTCCCTCTTTCTCTCCCTATCTTTTTTACTCGATGTGTCCATCAATCCTCGTCTCTGCATGCTGTGGTGCCCTGGTGCCCCTGGTGGTGGGGTGGTGGCAATCTTGTCACATGAGATGAGAGAATTCCCTCAACCAAAAAGGAAATTTGTCGGTCGAATCCCGGTCACTCGCGGCAGTTTTTACCACCCCATGTCTCAGTTCAGCTGCAAGGGGCAAAGGGCGCCGCCTCCCCCGTCGGTTTCCCATGCATCCTGTGGCCGGCCAGCGTCACCGCCCGTGGTGCCACCGGCCGTCGAGGCGACGCCATGGGCCGCGGGTGGGGCGGCATCTCGATCGATCGATCGCCCCCCGCCCCCGCGAGATTCCCGCGCGCTGCGTGGAGCGGCGCCCATCGGTGGCGTGGCTGTCAAGCTCGCGCCCGGAACCGAGCGGCGGCCACTCCCCTGGCGACACGACGCGCGCCCGCGCGACCGTCGACGTCACTGTTCCAGTTCCCCTCCTCCACTCCACGGCCGCTGCCTTTTGCGCCTCGCCATGCCGCGCGGCCGGCAGCGACTGCCACAGGTGTGCGCCGCGCAGCCGATCAGTAGGAGTAGCAGGGCGCGCCGGCTCGGGCCCCGCTCCAACAAAACACAACTACACGAGAGACAAGTACTACACCTACGCTTTCGCATCCGATGCGGCGGAATGAACGGGACGGGAGGGGGAGCCCGCGAAGCAGCGCGTCTCGCGGCCCCCCCAGAACGAACGGAATGATGCGGGCGGCTGGGACGCACGGGCCAATGCAGAAGAGACAGAGCGCTGATCCCCGGGGGCAGCACACGTGCCGCGCCGCCTCTCGGGAATCGCAGGCACCAGCCACCCTCCCCGCGCTCTCATCAGGTGGACGCGATGCGACGAGGCCGAACCGAAACAAACCACAAAAGGCGCGCGGCGCGGTGCGGTGCCGTTGCGCGCCCAACGTGGAAAGGCCCCGCACCGCACCGGGCGCGTCGCGTAAAATATTTGGGCAGTGGGCAGTGGGCGCAGCACGGGGGGAATGTTCACGCGGGGGCGGCGAGCACTCGCCGATGGAGCAAAGGCCACAAGCACAAGCACCACACGCGCTAGCATTCGCATCACATGCACGGCGAGTAATCGGGAGAGGCGCAAATCACATCCCCCTCTTTGCTTCGGTGGATTCCCTCATAATTCAAAGGCCGCGGCGCGATTGGGCGTAGCCGGACTCCGCGCGCGCATTGGCAGGCAGCGGCGTGCGTGTGCGTGGTGTTTTGCAATTGGGGAAAAGCCCCGGGGCTTTTTAAGCCCCCTCTCCACTTTTCTATGGGTTATGACAGGTTTAAGTGGGGAGCCCTCCTATGGACACTGAGATTAGTGGAGCGGAGAGGCCACGCAGCGACACGGCCCTACACAGCCACCCGCGGCTCAGCCGCTCTGGCCAATGGGCTCGGTAGATTCCTCTCTATCTTCTCCTCCTCCTGCATGCTGCTCCTTGCAATGCTTTGCCCAACTCTACACCAAGTCTTTTTCTACGCTTTGCTAATTGCTATCTGCTGCTGCTCCGTGCAGGGGCATCTCATGGGTGGTGTGATCCACCACCTCATGTGTAAGACACTGAAGAAACTACTACTTTGCTGCTGTTGCTCTCTGTTAAACAAATGAGAAGATTTATTAGTGGCCTGATTAGACCAGCCTTTATTTTCATATTAAAAAAAATCTAGTAGCTATTTCTGAATGAGATGTCATTCTCTTTCTCTCTTATTTTTTTTTTAAAAAGGTGTCCTTATGAGGTACAGGTGTGCACTTGGAGCACCGGATGGCACCTGCTTTTGTAGGTAGCTGAACGAGATGAGTGCTGCTGAAATCTATCTATCTATCTATCTGCAATCTGGTGATGGTGGTGCCTGTTGTTGTTGGTGAGCTTGGGATGAGGATCAATCCTGCCTTTCCTATTATTTCTGCTGTTACAGTAAAAATGCAGGTGCTTTATTTGCACAGGGCAGCCTAATCTATCGCCAATGATATGTTTGCTTCTGTTACAATTATTGTGCTATCATAAACTAGTCGAAGAAAGCAGATTCTGCATTTACCAGTACAGTTGACCCTACGTGAAAGCTTAACTGAAAGGAAGTAACAATAGACTAGCGGCAACTGTCTGGTCTCAGGAGCAGCTCTGCTCAACAGGATAAAGTCTTCAGTGTCAGTTGTTTAATTATCTGGGTAGAGTGGTGACTCAAAAGACGTTTGGAATACGACCACTTGAACTTGATGCTAATGTTAGATGGTCGGGTACTAGATACAAAAGGAAGCAAGGCCACAAGGTGAGGCCAATGAAGAGCTTAATCATTGGAAATTTCTGTTCAGATATGCCAAATGAGGGTTCTAATGACAAGGCAACAGCATCTAGTTTCTTTTATTTACTTACCGTGGGGGCTAAAGAAAAGGAGAAATACCCCTCCATTTTACAATGCTCTTAGGCCTTAGCATTTGTAAAGTAATGCTAGAGCTAGGAGGGAAATATTTTGTGTGTGTCTCTTATCTAAAAGGCAACACACAACCAATAGCTGCATTTTTAGTAGCAATAAAAGGCATTGGGAATTCTTGGTGCTCTCACTTTCACATGGGGCTGAATCCTCTCTCTTGCTTTTTGAAGTGGCGCTGAAATGATTGTTTAAATTATGCAACACTTTGAAGCCCTTTTGGGGAAGTCACAGAAGAGATAGGCAACTGTGTGTCACAGCCTGGTGTAGTCTTGAAGGAAGAAATTGTAAAGAAATATATCCTTCTCGAGAATTTGCCAGACTGGTCATGCCATTTGAGTATTTGACTCCTTAGTGCTTGTAGGGGCTTACTTCTTCTCTCTGATCATCTAAAGGTCATGTAATGGGGTAAGTTGTCAAGGGCTCAAGGCTAGCCATAAACAAGCGGTCAAATGCTGATGAGTCCTGTCTCACTTATGTTGTTTTGGAACTTCTTTTTGTTGCTCTTCTTCTACCTTTCCAAGCACTGAACTCCAGGATAATGTTTCAGATAGTTTCACTTATTCAACCTTTTTTTTGCCTTTTCTAGTATATATAAGTATACTGGTCCTCGAATTTTTTGTGATGTACGATTCCACTGAAAAAACATGCAGCGACTAGTGACTGTCACTACCCAAAATGCAACGGCAAAGTATTAAAAAAATTGGCGAGTGAATTAAATATATCCTATGGAAGTGCTTCCACAAAAACACAAGAAATACATAGATTCTGGAAATGCAGTAGTTACTACTAGTTAGGTACAAAGCAGCTCCAGGAAATCACTTTTGTGGTTTGAGCATTTTCTCATAGAAAAGCATACGAGCACATCCTGATACATATTTGTTGCCACTCTAGAGTTTTCAACTGAGGGAGCCTGTCTGCCTGAGATGACCAAGTTATGCACCATACCCTACCTCTACCTACCTAACAGTTCATCTGAAATTAAAGCTCGTTAAAAACTAAGCTTAGGCTTCACTGTCATAGCATTGCTGTCTCCAAAGTTTATAAAAAACCGACAAATCATAGAGGTCTCTACGTGGAAAAGACCTGCCGTTGCAATGTTCATGTCCTTGATCAAAGCATACCTGATAATGCTCGAAGAAAGCTATCAAAAATAAAGGCAGTGAAATGCTTTCTCCTCCTTGACAAGCTAGGTTCCCATCCCCCCCTCTCTCTGAAGGAGATTAAAGCAGCAGCTATAGCTTCTTCTTCTCCTTAACGCAGACAACACATGCATCTATTGTTTTCTCTACCTTGTAACTCTCCAGGGAGGCAACAGACAAGGCAAAGATCTTTACAACGCCCCTACCAAAGCCGTGTCTCATGCCCTGCAGTTCTTGAATCCTCTCCTTGACTAGCACTAGTGCACTACATTATTACTGCTACTAAGTAGTACTCCAATTTGGAGCATGCTAATTCGTGTTCCAATTTGGAGAAACTTTCCTGCTACCTAACAAAGTTCATCATGCTGAGACCACTCTCTCGCTCTCACAACCGTAGCTGCAAATGCAAAGGCTACCGAGGATATCCATCCATCGACAAGCACAAAGGGGATCAAGAGGGTGTAGGGGACAGCACAGTCATGCACAGATCGTCGTCTACTCCATGTGGTAGTCGCTACCATCGATCGATCAGTGCTTAGTAGGCCAACCATAGCACGGAGCAATTAGATAAGTTCTACCCCCTAGAGCCTGAGAGGACATGTCGCACGTGATCTGCATGTATCTTCTCCTGTGTTAATTTGGACCCTACAATACGTCGATAATCAAGTTAGTGACACTTTCACGCTTAAGTTTCTGAAAAGAAAATAATTAAACAAAGTCTATATGTTTCTAAAGTAAAAAGGAATTGAAGCAACTGTAACATTTGCTGTAAGATACTAAGATCTGGAGTAAGGAAGGATCGTTTGTTCTCCTGGAGAACATGAACTGAAATTTGATCATATAGCAGACAGGAGGAATTAAATGTCCCCTGGCATCTGCCCTGAAGCCAGATAAATTGACCATGGTATCCAAGCATATGTTGCCATCCGAGTGCAATACGTACTACTCGTGACAGAAGTCACAGAACACGAAACTGCCTGCATGTTTCCGGCCATCGCTAGCAGCCTCTCGTGTCAATTGCAGATTCCGGGGCAAGAATTTCCTCCCGGAATCATCAGCAGGAGGGAGAAGGAATCTGAATGTTTTCTACAGTGAATTACTGCTGTTAGATGCCCTTCGCATAGTTGTGTAGAAAAATGCCTTTGAGAAATGCCATGTTTCGCTGGTTGGATACACCAAAACGGGCAGCGCAAGGTGTTAAACTAGCACATATAGTACAATTATCTTTAGTTAAGTGAATAAGTGGATATGAACCGAGATGACACAAAGCCTATATAGCCAGCCCCCACAAACACCAAGCCGACTAAACAATTTGTATTTAGCCATTTAAATAAGCAGTTAGCTGCAAAAACATATGATGAACAACTGGGCTTCTGAATAATGGACAATGACGAACAGCAAATGCAAGCAAAAGCAGACGTCTGGTTGTGCAACTGGATTACTAGTGCTCAGAAAACGAAGGGTGATACGTATAGTGGTATATGTTCCCTCTCAAACTAATTAACAATAAATAAGGTGGTGTCCAAGTTAGGACTGACCTTTTTCTCAACAGGTTTCAGACCTGAACAGAGTCGATCATATTCAGATTACAGTGCTCTTCCTCGATCTTGAAATATATTAGGTCCATGAGAAAGGCCGCCGAACCAACACTCCAGAGTCCAGAGTCCACATGCAGAATCAAAGGGTTAGCTATTCAATTCTGCCATTGCAACAGCTTTAGAAGAATTCGAAGCACCGCAGGCGCATCAAATGGGCATAAAATCTCTCTTTTCCTGCAGCACTCCAGGGAATGAGATCTCACTTGAGATTGCTCGTGTTCTTTCTCAGGTCTCGTAGTGCCAACACCTCCCCTTTACGCAGTTATATGCCTGTAATGGCCGACGAGCTAGCTACTTGTCACACTCCACTTTCTTCATAGATAATGTTAATTAGTGCAATGATATCTCTCTGTAATTATGGTGCAATCTAGTGTTCAGATACCATGCAAAACCATCCTAGAGAAGTAACCCAATGATATACCGAAACTGGCCATAGTAGGTCAGGGCTAGTACCTAATAACATTAGGAATGACCGGACATCCCCTGGAGGAATCAAATAGGTTTCCCAATTCAATTCTAACGGTCTGAGCAAATGACTAGAATGTGATACAAATATCCAACAAGGATACCATAATCTTCAGAAGTTCTGGGTTCTGACATACTTGCAAATCGATATCAAGATATACTAGTAGAACTATTTCTAGCGAGCGGGCCGTTTACCTGATGTTGTTTTCAAGCTTTCTTGATCTCCGACGCGGAGCAACAGCCATCTCCGAGACTCCGATGCGGCGTTTCCCATGGCGGCGGGTTGGGGTGTGCCGCCGCGCAAGCGGTCGACGGGGAAAGGAATAAGTTCACCGGAGGTCCCTCAACTTAACAGCGAGATTTTCTAAGGTCTCTTAACCACAAAACCATAAATGTATACCCCTAAACTTACACAAACCGTGCACATAAGGTCCTATAGCAGTATATAGAGGTGGTTTCGCTGACGTGGCATCCTAGTCAGCAAAAAAATTTAAAAAAGTGTGTGGGGTCCACCTGTCAGCTACATGTATTTTTTCTTCTCCTTCTCTTCTCTTTTATCTCTTTTCTCTTCCCTTCTTTGGGCCGGCTGTGGGCGGAATCGGCGAGCGCGGCGGTCGGAGTCGTCCGGCCAGCCGTGCCAGCTGCTCGTCGACAAGATCCTGACGCGTCGCCGCCGCAGGAGGGCACACCACCTCCTTCTACGCCTGCTCGCTCCGCGACGGTGACGGCGAGGCGCCGCCGGCCGCCGCCCGCGAGCTCCTCACCGTCGCCGACATCAGCGCCGACCACGCCGTGTTGTCGCCGACGCCGTGCATAGGCCTCACGCTCATCTTCGACGTCTACAGGTCAGAGTACTATGAGCATGGCATGAAGCTAATCAGTGCTGCATGAGGCAGTCCACGTCCAGATGGATGGCCATGGCCACCATGGCATTGGCATGACATATCTTGGCATGAATGGTCTCAAAGCGGCGAGGTTACCTCCCAACAATAATCACGAGCACCCCGGGAGCTAAAACGAAAACGAAGTGCCTGCTAAAGGTAGCTCCTTTTTTCTCCAATATCCACGTGCTTGAATCAACCAACGTTGTACCAAATACTACCAAGTGCAAGAAAAACCGAGACAAATGGAGCTAAGATGCAAAATCAGAGTTGTATCAAAGTGAACTTTATTAAAAGAACCCCGAAACAAAACAAAAAAAAACCAAAGAAAATAATGGAGAATCCGAATGCCATAAGTTCAATCTGCACGTCAGAAACGACTGGATCTTAACGACAAAACTTAGAGTCGACGCCGACGTTGCCCACCATGAACCCCACGTCTTATCTACCGGCGTCGGCAGCGCCCTGGATCGAGCTCTCCACCACCGGGCTCGGCTACAACACGGCGACCGGGGAGCACAAGGTGGTCAGGCTCTTCAAGAAACGCAACGGCGGGGAGTACAGCTGCGAGGTGTACACCCAGGGCGCCGGCGGGTGGCGCCGCTGCGTCGGGCGAGTGCCGCCGTGCGCGGCCAACTTCCTCCCCGCGTTGCCGCCGGTGTTCGTCCACGGCTACCTCTACTGGCTGCTCCGGCCGGCCGGCCCCGGCGAGGAGCCGATCCACCGCATTCTGTCCTTCTCCATGGGCGCCGAGCAGTTCGGGTGGGTGTACGTGCCGCCGCGGGCCCGCGGCTGTCTTCCCGCATCTGCCACCTCGCCGACCTCGACGGCTCGCTGTGCGCCATCTTCGACAACCGCCTCTTCGGCCGCGTCTACGGGCTCTTCACGTGGAGCGGCAAGGTGTTCGTGAACGACGTCGAGCGCAATGCCGTGGAGCGCGTGTTCCGCATGCAAGACATGGTCGACGTCCACCTCCCTCCCGCCGCAGTCAGCCGCCTCGGCGCCGTCACGCGATGAGCGGCGAGCGGAGGAAGGGGCAGCAATGGCGGAGGTCCGCCGCCGCGCTCGCCCTCCGTCCACTCCGCCCGCAGCCCGCCGCCGCTCTGCTGCTGCGATCGCCGATTCCGCCCGCCGCCGCCCGAAGAAGGGAAGAGAGAAGAGAGAAAAGAGGAGAGAAGGAGAAGAAAAAAATGTGTAGCTGACAGGTGGGCCCCACACACTTTTTAAAAAAAATTTTTTGACTAGGATGCCACGTCAACGAAACCACCCATATATATACTGCCATAGGACCTTGTGTGCACGGTTTGTGTAAGTTTAGAGGTACACATTTCTGGTTTTATAGTTAAGGGACCTTAAAAAATCTCGCTGTTAAGTTGAGGGACCTCCAGTGAACTTATTCCACGGGGAAAAGGGATGGGGATGGAGACGGACCGTTCTTATTGGACCGTAAGCCCGTGACGGTGGACGTGCAGCCCAGTTTAGTTGGGCACCGGAACGGGCTGAACGCATTGCTACGTGCGCTCGATCACGCGGCCCACTCGTGAGAGAGAGAGAGGATAGAGATAAGAGGGAGAGAGAGAGAGGATAAAGAGAAGAGGGGGAGTAGTGAGGATGACATGTGGAGACACATATGCCCCACCATTTTTTATTATTGTGTGTGAAACTAACATGTGGTTTCTATATGTTTTATTATTTTTTTGGTTAAATTGCCACGTAAGCGTCACGTCAATGCTATATGGGATAAAGATCTAGTCAAGAAAATCACGTCAGTCAAAATCGAGGACAATACTGCCGAGAGACTTTGTTTGTAAGGTTATGTAAAATGGGGGATGCGTTGCATCCAGTTTATGGTCCAGAAGTTTTCGAACTCGGAACAAACTGAGAGACTTAAAAGTGAGCTTATTTCGCGCAGAGTCCACGGCGCGGTGGCCGCAACGAACTGCGAAGAGCCGAAGAGCTGCTCCGAGCGAACCTCTGCCGGTGCGGGCCTCGCCTCGATCAAGGTTGTGGTCCACGCACGTCATGGGCCGAGGTGCCGGTCGAGTTCACGCTCTCGCCGGCGCTACTTGGCAGGAGCGACGTTCGCGCCAGGTCAGTGTGGGCACCGCGTCATTGAGATCGACTCGTCGACGCCGTCGCGTCGTCCGCGAACGATCTGTTCGGATCTTGGATAATCGATTACTCAAATGCAACTGGTTTGGATGGAGCGTGTGGCAGGCAGCGCCAAACCCAGCGACGTAGCAACACCCCTCGGCTCGGCTGCACGTGCCATGTTGGCACATGAGCAGATGTAGAAGGAGATTTGGATCAACCGTAACTTTCATTGATCAATGGAGCTTATATTTATACATGTACAACAAGGCTTGGGAGTTGCCTGGGCCTAACTAATCCCCTGATCTAAGGGACGTGCAGCGGTGCGAGCGGAGCGAGGAGCGCGGCGTCGTGCGCGGGGTGCGCGTCGTGCGCGTGGAGCGCGCCGCGAGAGTCTGACGAAGCCGTTCGCCAACACCCCCCCGCAGTCGCAGCCGTCGTATCACCGACGCAGAGACTGGCTCGGAACTCGTTGAACATGCTTGAAGGAAGCCCTTTTGTGAACACATCCGCGAACTGATGGGCACTCGGTATCGGTAGGACGCGGAGTTCACCGAGCGCGACCTTCTCCCTGACGAAGTGGATGTCGAGCTCGATGTGTTTGGTCCGCTTGTGGTGCACCGGATTCTTGGACATGTAGACGCTGGAGATGTTGTCACAGTAAGCGATCGTCGCCTGTGGAACGCGGCAGTGGAGTTCACCGAGCAGCTGGCGCAACCAAGTGCACTCCGCCACCGCGTTCGCCACACCTCTGTACTCGGCTTCCGCACTTGACCTCGAGACGGTCGTCTGCCGCTTGGACGACCAGGAGATGAGGGAGTCGCCGAGGAAGATGCAAAAGCCGGACGTGGAACGCCGGGTGTCGGGGCAGCCGGCCCAATCTGCGTCGCTGAAGGCGGTGAGCGTCGGCGACGTCGAGGCGCGAAGGTGTAAGCCAAACGCGGCCGTTCCCTTGATGTAGCGCAGGATCCGCTTCAGCAGGGTGACGTGAGCTTCGCGCGGAGCATGCATGTGCAAGCACACCTGCTGGACGGCGTAGGCGATGTCGGGCCGCGTCAAGGTCAGGTACTGGAGAGCGCCGGCAATGCTGCGGTACCAGGAGGAGTCCTGGAAGAGAGGCCCCTCGTCGCTTGACAGCTTGGGTTTAGCGTCCGCCGGAGTGGCCACGGCCTTGCAGTTCGCCATGCCTGCACGTTCGAGGACATCGGTGGCGTACTTGGACTGGCTGAGGACGAACCCGTCGGCAGTGCGCTGAACTTCGATGCCGAGGAAGTACTTCAGGGGCCCCATGTCCTTGACCTTGAACTCCGCTTGAAGGCGATCGATGATGCGCTGCAGCAAGCTCGACGAGGACGCGGAGAGGATCATGTCGTCGACGTAGAGGAGGAGGTAGGCCGTGTCGGAGCCACGGCGCAGCACGAACAGGGAGGGGTCAGCGCGGGACTGGACGAAGCCGAGGCTGGTTGCATGATCGGCGAAGCGCTTGAACCAAGCGCGCGGGGCTTGACGAAGACCGTACAGCGAACGGGAGAGGAGGCACACGTCCGCCGGGCGAGCAGCATCCTCAAAGCCTGTGGGCTGCTGGCACAGGACACGTTCCTGAAGATGGCCGTGCAGGAACGCGTTTGAAACGTCCAGTTGATGCGCCGGCCATTGCTTGGAGGAAATCAGCGTCAGCACGGTGCGAATGGTCGCTGGTTTGACGACGGGCGAGAATGTCTCGCCAAAGTCGACGCCCGGGCGCTGGTTAAACCCGCGAACCACCCAACGTGCCTTGTACTTGTCGAGTGAGCCGTCAGCATGAAGCTTGGTCTTGAAGACCCACTTGCCGGTGATGATCCGAGCACCGGGAGGCCGGGGAACCAGAGTCCACGTCCTGTTCGCGAGCAGGGCGTCGAACTCAGCCTGCATCGCCGCGCGCCAGTTGGGATCCCGGAGCGCCGCGCGAACAGACGAAGGTGTCGGCGACAGGGTCGACGTGGCAGTCATGGCGTACCGCGGGTTGGGTTTGCTGATCCCAGCCCGCGCACGCGTCGTCATGGCGTGTCGAGGTGGAGAGGCGGACGCTGGCGACGACGTCTCGGGTGATGGAGGCGGCGCGACGTCGTGGGCCGGAGCAGCACTGCTGGGCGTGGACGACGCGGGCGACGGAGGCGATGCGGCGTCGTGAGCTGGGGCGGTGCCGACAGGTGTGACGACGTGCTGTGCTGGAGCAGGCAGCAGCACAATAGTGTCATCGCCGTGGTCCGGTGGCGGAGGAGCTGACGGGCGAGGCGATGGCGCGTCGCGGAAGGGGAACACGTCCTCGACGAACGTGACGTGGCGCGACGTGAACACCCGGCGGGAGACCATGTCGTAGCAGCGATAGCCACGATGGTCAGCTGGGTAGCCGATGAAGACGCACGCCAGGGATCGCGGGCTGAGCTTGTGCGGCGCTGTCGCGATGGTGTTGGGGTAGCAGAGGCAGCCGAACACGCGAAGATGATCGTACGTCGGGGGAGCGCCGAGCAGCAGCTGGTACGGCGTGAGGGAGCCCGTGGCGCGGCATGGCCGTCGGTTGATCAGATGCGTCGCCGTCTGCAAGGCTTCAGCCCAAAAAGACAATGGAGCAGCGCTGTGAACAAGCATTGTGCGCACGCAGTCATTGATCGTCCGGAGGATACGTTCCGCCTTGCCATTCTGTTGAGAGGAATAGGGGCAGGAGAGGCGAAGAACAGCTCCGTGGAGAGACAGGAGTGAGCGAAGTGCATAAGAATCGTATTCCTTGCCATTGTCAGTTTGCAGAGCTAAAACGGGGAGCCCGAACTGTGTGTGTGCATAAGCAAAGAAGGAACGAACAGTATGAAACACCTCAGATTTATTGCGAACAGGAAAGGTCCAAATATAGTGTGTAAAATCATCAAGAAATACCACATAATACTTGTAACCGGAATTGCTATAAATGGGAGAGGTCCAAACATCTGTATGCACTAACTGAAAGGGAAATAGAGTCTGACTAGATGAAGAGTGGAAAGGAAGCCGCACATTCTTGCCTACATGACAAGCAGAACAGTGATGGGGGGCTGATTTATTACATTGGAAATCAAAGGAACCAAGAACCTTGGACAGGGAAGCAGAGCCAGGGTGCCCGAGCCGCAGATGCCAATGCTCCACCGACGGCGAGGAAGTCGCAGAGAGGGCGTGTGGCGATGGCAGACGCAGGGGGTACAGGTCACCCGGGCTGTCACAGCGGAGCTTCACCACCTGAGTTTGAAGATCCTTGATGGAGAAACCAGTTGGATCAAATTCAATGGAGACATTATTATCACGAGTTAGCTTTTTCACAGAGATCAAATTCTTAATCAAGGGAGGAGAAACAAGCACGTTATGAAGGTGTAGATCAGTGGAGGATGTGGGAATGTGGGTGGAAGCTGTATGCGTGACAGGCAGCTTGGCACCATTGCCGACAGTGATACAAGAGGAGAAAGGAAGAGGACGGGGATGAGCAAGAATACCAGGGGTGGAGGACATATGTGCTGACGCACCGGTGTCGAGGAACCAATCCGCAGCGCTCGGAGGAGTGGTGGTGGCGACGCCGGCGGACTGCAAGGCGCTGTAGAGCGCACTGTTGTCCCAGGCGCCGGTGGATTGAACTCCTGGAGATGCCGGAGGAAGAGCCGGAAGCAGGTGCTGCGCGGTCATGGCCTGTTGGGCCTGGAACGGCGGGCGAGGGCCCAACACACCCGCGCCGGGAGCCCGGAACGGGAAAGGCCAGGCCTGGACAAAGCCTGTCCAGGGGTTGTAGCCCCAAGGCGCAGGAGGGCGAGGCTGGCCGTCGTGCCCGGCACCAGCGCCGCCGCCAGGAGTCGAAGGAGCGCCGCCAGGTGGGGCGCCGCCGCCCCGGCCACGACGCTTGCCCCGTCCCTTGGGACGAGGCTGGCCGGTGGTGTCGGAGGTGCCGGAGGAAGACCCGGTGCCGGCGTAGAGGGCCTCCCCGGCTTCAGCCTTGGCGTCGTGCTGCATCTGGAGCTCCGCCAGCAGCAGGTAGGAGCGCGCGGTCATGAAAGTGTGTGGCGGATTCCGGTCGGCGATGCTGGCGCGGAGGGAGCGGAACTTGGTGTTGAGGCCGCGCAGGAGGTTGAGCACCTGGCTGGGCTCAGACACGGGCATGTTGATGTCGCGGAGGCCGTCGGCGAGTTGCTTCAGCTTGGCGGTGTACTGCGTGATGGTCATGTCACCTTGATTGATCGAGCGGAACTCGGTCTCAAGGTAGACAGACCGTTGGACGGCGTTGTCACGGAAGACGCCTTCGATGTCGCTCCACACGGTGAAGGCAGAGGCGCGGGGCTTGTAGACGACGTCGAAGACGTTCTTGGCGATGGAGTTGTGCAGCCAATTGACCACGCAGTGATCCGCACGGCGCCACTCGGCAGTGCGGAGGTCGAGAGCGGGCGGCTCCTGAACATGGGCCTCAAGGCCGAACTTGCCGAGGACCGATTCGAAGCTGCAGCGCCACTGGCTGTAGTTGGAGACGTCGAGATCGAGGACGACCGGGACGTGGGAGCGGATGTTGACGGTTTGAAGAACAGAGGTGGAAGGCGCCGGCACAGGCTCTTCGTCAGAGGTGGACGAGGCGTCGGAAGCGCCGGAGCTGTGCGACATGGCTAGCAAGGGAGAGGTAGCGGAAGACTAAGATCAGAGGGGCTCTGATACCATGTAGAAGGAGATTTGGATCAACCGTAACTTTCATTGATCAATGGAGCTTATATTTATACATGTACAACAAGGCTTGGGAGTTGCCTGGGCCTAACTAATCCCCTGATCTAAGGGACGTGCAGCGGTGCGAGCGGAGCGAGGAGCGCGGCGTCGTGCGCGGGGTGCGCGTCGTGCGCGTGGAGCGCGCCGCGAGAGTCTGACGAAGCCGTTCGCCAACAGCAGATGCCTATTGCCCACAGCGTCCCAACAGTACAAGGCTCCAGGGCCCAAGAACAACCCGTGCAAAGAATCGATCGAAGATTCGAAGGAGTATCTTTTCCTCTTCGCTCTATGCTGTGCCTTGAAATCAATTTTCAGCTCTATTCTGAAGTCTGAACAAGATGTGGAGCTAAAAGTCATCGGAGAGAGAAAAATACACTGTCCCATGCAAAGCAGGTTGACAAATAATAAAACTTTTGAGTCAGTGAACGTCGGAGGAAAAACGAGCTCAAATGCTCAACCATTTCCATTTCCGCGTGAAACTGCAAAAATAAAAGTTGACAGAGACGTCCTCTCTACTGTTCTGTGACCGTGCGCGTCGTCTGTCCGTCCAACTTTGTCTTCTCCCTGTAGTCCCCTTCACCGCAACTTCGGCGAAGTCAAGAAGGAGTAGTCAAGTGCGCAGAGACCTACCGAGAAGAAGAGTACAGCCGCACGAGCGGCGAGCGGAGGACCACGCGATCCACAAAAAAATGTTTTCTTCTTTTTAGGTAGTGCCCTCCTCTCTTCACTCTGCAAGACTGAAACACTCCGCAGACTGACACGCTTGCATGGGGGCGGCGGTGGGGAAGGCGGCTCCGGCGAAGGCCCGGCTCGACATTGCCGAGAACACCATATTCCAGCGGAACCGCGGCATATGGGACGCGGCGGCCGCCTGCACCAACGAACGCCTCCTCGACGCGGTCGACGAGATCCTCGACCTGGCGGAGGCCCAGCCTTTCCCCGCGGCGTCCGCGGCCGCCGCCCGCCTCGACAGCGCCCTCCGCGCCGCCATGTCGCTCATGATGGACGAGTTCATGTGCCTCAGGGTCTGGAACGCCTCCTCCCATGACCTGCGCCTCGCCGTCGACAGGCTCGCGGTCGGTGCTTCCGCCAACGCCCTGTGGCAGCACACCTTCCCCAGCACCGGCGACAGGAGCAGCTCGGCGAGCACCGTGGGGCGCGCGTCGGCCGGAAGCCCGTCGAGTGCCCCTGGCGACTTGGTCGGCTTCTTGGACGGCGAGTTCTTGGATGAGCTCCAGCTGCTCTGCCCCGCGAGCCTGCTCGTCCTCCATGAGATCGCGCACCGGGTAATCCGTGCCGGCTACACGAAGGAGCTCGTCCAGAAATTCACAAATTCCCCATGCGATGTTCTGGACAGGTACGACTATTTTCTTGCAGTTTAACCTACTATGTTTTTTTTTAATCTGAACCGTGACTTCTTTGGTTCTAAAGAAACGTTTTGTTTTTACTGTAATCGTGGAACAGGTTCTTGTCGATTTTTCAGGGGGAATGCTCGCGGCGGACGACAGTGGATCTGATCAAGCGATGGAGCCTGGCGACTCATCTCGTCGGGAAGGCCCTCGTCGTCATGCAGCGGCAGCTGTACACGCACAACTCCCCCGGCGCCTTTGATGCTCTCAAGGACGAGTACTTCTTGGCCATCACAAAGAATCGAATCTTGAACCTGCTCAAGTTCGCAGACGATTTCACCAGCATCACGTCGCACGAGAAGCTCATTTACATCCTTGGCATGTACCAGGCTCTGAGCGAGGCCGCTTCAGGCCTCCTGCTCATGTTCACCGGGCCGCACAAGGAGCTCGTTGCCGAGAGGTCCGAGGAAATCCTCGCCAAATTGGCTATGTCGATAAGGTCCATGGTCGCCAGCCTCATAGCGAAGGTACGAGACGGTGTCTCGAACACGAAGAACATCGTCGGCGTCGGCGTCCATCCGCTGACGAAATACGCCGTGCTCTGCATCGTGCGGCTGGCGCCGCACCGCGACACGCTCGACCTGATCCTCGCGAGCGGCGGGGACGACGTAGCGTCGCTGTCCGATCTCGCGTCGCGCGTGGTAGGGTCCCTGGAAGAGAAGCCCGTGCTTCCCTGCGATGACGACGCGACGGCGGCGGCGACCGGTTCGCGGCACCACCTCTTCCACGCCAACAACGCCAACTTCGTGCTGCAAAGCTGCAAGCCTCTGCTCGGGGACGAGTGGGCGGCGGCGCGCGAGAGCATCGTGGAGCGGCACGTCGCGGGCTACGCCGAGGCTTGCTGGGCACCGGTCGTGGCTTGCTTGGAACCCGCGGGCAGGAAGCCGGCGGCAAAAGTCGTGGCCAAGTTCAGCGCCGCGTTTGACAGAGCGTATGAGAGTCAGGCGCGCTGCGAGGTCCGCGATCCCGCGCTCCGCGACGCGTTGCGAAGGGCCGTGTCCGACAAGGTCGTGACTGCTTACGGCGTGTACCTGAAGACGCACCCCAAGCTCGAGAAAAAACTCAGGTACACCGCCGGGGAGCTGGGCGAGCGGCTTTCGGAATTGTTCGAAGGAGAAGCTGCAGAGCACAACAAATGAAGGCCGATTTCAACTTTTTTTTTTCAAACTTTTAAATTTTTCGTCGCATCGAACTTTCCTACACACACGAACTTCCAATTTTTCAGTTACATTGTTCCAATTTCTTCAAATTTCCAATTTTAGTGTGGAACTAAACACAGCCAAACAACAGACTATAGTTGTTTACCATGGATTCTTTTGTAATAACACATGTAATTTTAGAAAATAAAGAAGAGTAAGGAAATTCATTTGTACCACTGGTTGAATTTCCTCGCGAACCATGCTTCTGGCATGAACTCAGGCCCAGTTTAGTTCTGAAGATAAAAATTTTCGAAATCTAAAAGAGATCAGATATTTTCATCGAAGGCTGTGTTTAGATTCAAACTTTGGATCCAAACTTCCAACTTTTTCTATCACATCAACCTGTCATATACACACAACTTTTTAATCACATCGTATCAATTTTAACCCAAACTTTCAACTTTGGAAGGAACTACTGGAGGCTCAATGGCAGCGTGTCCACAAGAATCCGGCAGTCCTACCGACAACCTAAAGTCAAGATTGCAGTTTAGATATTTCTCGTAGGATATGGAAAGTATGCTCCTCTTAAACTCTCTTACAAAACCAACCCCTTTATATAAGAGTAACGATTAATTTATTTAAGATAACATCTATACGTACCAACATCATTCTAAAATAAATACTCCCTCGTCTGATATGAAAAGGAGGGAGTATTCATTCTAGAATGCTCCCTAAACGCGTGCTTGGGTCCTTGAGACGTTGACGATAGTGCACTTTCCGTTAGACTCCACTACAAATTCCGCAGAGCAGCAGGTCACTACTCACAAGTGTACCTTGTATATTCTCCCCGTAGCTTCGATGAAATGCTCAACTCGACACCACAAAATGTGCCACGAAACCACCCGCTGGGCAGAAGCGTACTGGACTACTTGTGCCAGTGATCCAGTCCACTTTCCTCCCGACCCTGCAAAACAAGTTGCTGCACCCTGCACCGCTGGTGCACGCATTCATGGGCGCCGCGGCAGGGAAGGCAGCGGAAGACGTCGCGGCCGCGTCGACGATGACGCGCGCCGAGTACCGGCTTGCCGTTGCCGAGCAAGTCATACTCGGGTGGCACTGCGCGCGCTCGTCCGGCGCCGACCTCGCCGGCGTATGGGACTCGGACGCGACCTGCACCAACGAGAGCCTCCTCTCCGCGGTCGACGAGGTCCTCCTCCTCGCGGAGATCCACGCGTTCCCCATGGCCTCCGCCGCTCGGCGCAGCATGCAGGATGCCCTCGACGTCGCCGTGTCATGTCTAATGGAAGAATTCCTTCGCCTCAAGGTGTGGGACGCTTCCCAGATGGAAGTCAGGCTCGGCGTTCGCTTCGCCGTCGGGAAGTTCTCGATGCCCGCGGCGGACAGTGGAGTGTCGCTGTCGCTCGCCTTCCCCACCACCGGCAGCATCAGCACGGCGAGCACCATCGACGAGCTGTACGCGTCAGGCGGGAGCCAGTCGAGCAGAGTTGGCGCGGTGACCATGCTCTTGGACGGCGAGTTCTTTGATGAGCTCGATCTGATCAGCCCGGCAAGCTTGTCCGTCCTCCATCAGATCGCTCTCCGGGTGATCCGCGCCGGCTACACGAAAGAACTGCTCCACGCATTCACCAACGCTCCCTGCGATGTTTTAGACAGGTTCGACTTGTCCCAAATCATGCAATTTAAGAATCTACTATCTCCATGGTTGATCTGAGCTGTGTTCTGGCTGTTTTTCTTCGCCATGGAACAGGTTCCTGACGATCCTTCAAATGGAATGCGCTTTCGAAACCGACCATGTCAGTTTCGAGGACGCGGAGTGGTGGACAGCAGAGGACATGATCAAGCGGTGGATCTTGGCAACAAAGCTCGTCGCGAAGGCCCTCGCCGTCATGCAAAGGCAGCTCCAAGCACAGAGCTGCGGAGCGTTCGACAGGTTCAAGAACGATTACTTCATGGCCATCGCGAAGAACAGCATCTTCGTCCTGCTCAGATTCGCGAACGGGTTCACTACCACGGAAGCACCGGACAAGCTCGTGTATGTCCTGGAAATGTACGAGGCACTGAGCAACGCGACTCCGGGACTCCTGCTCCTGTTCACCGAGCAACGCGTTGAGCTCGTCTCCCGGCAGGTCGAGGTTGTTCTCGCCAAGCTGGCGCGCGCGCTGAGAGCCATGATCGGCGGCCTCATCGCCAGGATCCGAAAGGCAGATTGTCCCCAGACGACGGGGAGCGCCGCGCGCGGCGTCGGCGTCCATCCGCTGACGCGGTACGCCATGACCTGCGTCGAGCTGCTGTCGCCGCACCGCGCCGCGCTGGACCTGATCCTCGCGAACGGCGCCGGCGAGAGCGTGACCTCGCTGGGAAGCCTAGTGGCGGTGCTCGTCACGAGCCTGGAACGACACCTCGAGGAGATCAACCCCAAGCTGTCCAACGACGACGACGACGCGGCTGCAGCAGCTGCAGCCTCGCGGCACCTCTTCCTGGCCACCAACGCGAGCTACGTGGCGAGACGCGCCGTGGACGCCGGCGTGGAGCCTCTGCTCGGAGACGGGTGGGCCGCGCGGCGCGGGAGCCTGATCGCGCGGTACGTGGCGAGCTACGTCGAGGCGTGTTGGGCCCCGGTTGCGGCTTGCCTGGAAACCGCGGGGAGGAAGCCGGTGAAAGTTGCCGCCAAGTTCAGCTCCGCGTTTGACGAAGCGTACGAGAGTCAGGTGCACCGCGAGATTCCCGATCCCGCGCTGCGCGACGCGCTGCGGAAGGCCGCGTCGGAGATGGTCGTTCCCGCTTACAGCGCATACTTGCAGAATCACCCCAAGCTCCAGAAAAACGTCAGGCACACCGCGGGCGAGCTGGACCGGTTGCTGTGGGAGTTGTTCGAAGGAGAAGCGGCGGAGCGCAACAAATTGTTGCTGTAATTTTAGGACAGCGCCAGATTCTTTTGTAATACTTTCTCTATTTCAAATTAGCTATATTTGGCTTTGTATACTGCTCATGTTAAACATTTCTGTTTTGATCATTGATTTCTATAAATTCATCTAGTTTAACAAGATTTAAGCTATATGTCACTCACTCCATCTCTAAATAAAAAAAGATTACTACAAATCTGAGCAGACACTACTACGAATATAGATAAAGTGTGTCTAGATTTATATTTATAGTTCTATGATATATCTCATCCAACCAAAATTTATTGGGAGAATTGTGTTAATGCCCTAACTTTCAATCTCAATTGTAACTAGCATGGTGGCCCGTGCAGATTACACGGCTAGCATCATCATATTTTCTCTCAAATAATAGCAATGTTTTTTCAATGTATTATCAAATATATTAAAATGGTAACATAATTTTAAATTTTGTACTAACTTTATAAAACTACTAATGTGTAATATTTATATTGTATTTTATATATGTGTTCGTTATTAATTATTTTTAATATCAGATTTTAGGTATTTGTAAATTATATTTCTATATGGACTCTAGACTCGTCTTTCAATATTTGTTTTTTTAATTCCGAATTTTCGTTATCTGTAATTGTATTTCTATATATACTCTAGGCTCTTCTTCCAATATTATATATTTTGAATTTTGAATTTTTATTATTTCTAATTGTATTTCTATGTGGACTCTAAATTCATCTTTCAATATTCTTTAATTTTTAATTTCGAATTTCAATTAATTCTAAATTGTATTCCTATATTAACTTTAGACTATTCTTCCTATTTTTTTTAATTTCGATTTTTTGTTATTTGTAAATTGTATTTTTATACGAACTCTAAACTCTACATTAATCTTATTATGTTTAGTCTGAATTGTAGTTAGTTTTAAATTCTTATATGCACTCTGTACTCTACTTCTAATATTCCTTATTTTTAATTTTGATTTAATATTCCTTATTTTTAATTCTGATTTTCTATTATTTCTTAATTGTATTTCTATATGGACTCCATACTACACTTCTAATATTCCTTATTTTTAATTTCAAATTTATTTCTTAATTGTATTTCTATATGGACTCTATACTCCACTTCTAATATTCCTTATTTTTAATTCCAAATTTCTGTTATTTCTTAATTGTATTTCTATATGGACTCTAGTCTCCTATTCCGATATTCCTTTTTTTTAATTCCGAATTTTAACTATTTTTAAATTGTAATTCTATATGGATTCTGTTTAGAGTCACCAACCACCTCAACCTTGGGAAACACCCTAATCAAGATGGGTTTAGAAGATCAAAACCGGCTAGCGAAGCCGATTAGACAAATAGGGATAAACACCCGTCTCGTGAGCAGAGCGAAAGGTTTTCGGGACATACCTACAAACAGGATTTACACTCTCGCGGTGAGGACGGACAACTTACAGCGCAAACGATGAAGTTGGACGAAAATGGGCAAAAAGTATATGCAAATATTGAAAAAAACGATTCAACTGGCTAAAAGTGTTGGAAATAGATTGTGCCTCAATTAAACTGACTATGGCCCTTATAAAGATGTTAGTTTTTCCTCTCCTCTGCTGGCACCTGGCGGCTCCCCACTCATCCTCGCCAAACGCCGCGCAGCCGTGCCGGACATGGCCGTTCCGGCTTACAGTCGAACCCAGAACCTCAGGTGCTACTAAGTCTCTTATAACCACTAGGCTAATGCCACATCTTTGGAATTAACTCGGGTAATTCAGGAGATTCGTTGCTCAGATCCATTTTTACAAGGAATAAGTCTACACCATTTTGATTCTACATCGTTACACGGATATGAAACAAAGGGCAAGTGAAATGGTGGCTACTGCAAATTGGGCACAAGCACCTGGAATGATAGTTCAGAGTTACTGCAAAGTTCAAACTCGCAGGTGTCGCCTTCACGCAGGTTGTTCTCCCTACTTATGTCAGCCCATCCAGCGATGAAACCGTTGAATTTTGGGGTGCATTGGTACAGCACAGGCCAGAGTCTCATGGATGGATCCTTGAGTATTAATATCTTCCTCGCTTGTTTCTTTGTTCTTGGAAGAACTGGCAGTCGTCTTGGAAGCTCCTGTAAGTGCATCTTTTAGAAGTGCTGTGCATGCTCAGGAAATGTAAATATTTGTTTTTTCACAAGTGGTAGGACAAGAATCTAGACAAGGTATTAAACAGTTAATCTGTTGTGTTTTAGCTGAACTTTGGATATTCAACATTCATATTCTTTCAGATACCTATTCATTCATAATTTAGGGGGTGTTTGGATCCAAGGACTAAACTTTAGTCCCTGTCATATCGGATGAATTTGAAGTATTAAACATAGACTACTTATAAAACTAATTACATAAATGAGAGCTAATTCGTGTGACAAATTTTTTAAGCCTAATTAATCCATAATTAACGTATATTTACTGTAGCATCACATAGGCTAATCATGGATTAATTAGACTCAATAGATTCGTCTCGCAAATTAGTTCAAGGTTATAGAATAGATTTTTATCAATATTCTATGTTTAATATTTATAATTAGTGCCCCGTCTAAACAGGGCCTTGCCCATGCTATCTCATAGCCCTGGCCTACTATCTCCAACTTCGGTGAACGATTAATATTAGTCACTTGTCGCTAAATATAATTTTTTTTAAGACAGGAACTGACAGAGACTGTTTCATCAGGATATTTTATGTCCTTTATGCAGTTTGAACACAAAAGACTTGGAAAAGGGAACAAGTTCAGTAAAGGCTACTCACAAGCCATGTTTGGTCTGGTGGAGGTATGGTTATGCAAAATTTCTTGCTATTTGCTGCAACTGCAAGAACTACACATGACTTTGTGCCTCCACTTTCCTGTCCTTTGCTATTGTTCCCTGCATATTGCCCGACACTCGTAAAATAACCTTTTATATAATCCATTTGTTAATTTGAACATTTCTTGAGAAAATACTCTTAAATCTAGTATAATATGCAGAATCACCAAAAAGGGCACCAGATAACTACTACTCCATCCGTTTCACAATGTAAGTCATTCTAGCATTTCCCACATTTATATGTCTATATGTATAGATTCATTAACATCAATATGAATGTGGGAAATGCTAGAATGACTTACATTGTGAAACGGAAGAAATACCAGGTTGCACGCTATTTTTTCTGACGTAAGTAAGTTCACAAGTCTTTGGATCGCTTGACATAATTTCTGCAGCAATCTGCCGTGGACCATCTTTAGTGATATCTTGCTTCACAGAAGAATGGGCTGGAACAGATACTGAATATTAATGATTTCTCATTGCTCAGTATAAGTTTGCAAATATACAAAATACATTGCAAATAAGGTTTCATAGGTACTAACCTTTTTGAGCAACTTTGTTGCACTCAGAATGCAAAACATCTTTATCCTTCTTGCAATCGTCTGGAGCTGCATCAATGTCAGGGTAAGTGTTGCCCTGTCCAATGTCAGGGTAAGTGTTACTGGGCAATGCGTTGATGTCTATGCCATGTACAGCAATGCTGCCATCATCTGTACTTGTTCTTGGTACATCAGTCATCTGTTTATTTTCCAAACATCTTGATGTCTCAGGCACTCCAAAACAATCACCTGGAGTTCGGCCATTGGAAACTAGCCCTTCGGTGTTCACGTCAACAGAAAATGCTTCTGGACTACAAAAATCACTATCAAATTCGTATATATCAGCTGACAGAAATATGTCATCTATACCCACTTCATTAAGATCCATCATAGCCAAAGGTGTTCTTAATTCTGCATTCTCTAGCACATTGGAGTTCTCGCAGTTCTCAGTTTCAGCATTCCCGTCTTCTAGCCCTAACTCGCAGTAAAGTTGCATTGGCCTATCTTGGTGTGAGCGTTCTGATTCTTTATCAGCAGTCATCACATTGCTTGATTCAGGATAACTAAAACTTGGGTAATCTTCAGATTTATTTGCATCCCATGTCACGTCTTTTGTGCTAGAAGATGCACCAATAGCTTCCAAATTTTTTATTGTCTTCATTCCAGCTGCATTGTAACTGGGATCAGCATTGCACTCTGTTGCAGGGACCTGAACAACTGCATGTGATTTATCAGGAGCAGCATCCAGTTCTTTCACTGAAGATTCTGAACATCTTTGCTCAGAACCAGAGTCGATGCAGACACGAACAGGCATGTCATGTTGCCTGGGGTCCAGATCATATATCTGTTCATCGGTGCGTTGTTTCTTTCGACGTTTAACCACATCTTTGCTGCTTACTTTCACCATTTGATTGTTAGCAGGATAGCCTGTTTTTCGCCCGGGCTTCCTCTTCCGGCTCTGCCTCTTGTTCCTTTCACAGAGATGGATCCTTTCGCAAGCTGAAATTGCGAATATTTGCACGGTGAAGACTGACCTGGCGATCTGCCTGAACACCAGGAACTCGCCGACGCTGATGTCGTGATCGAGCACAAAGTTCTTCCACCCATGGCCAAATGACAGAACATCGTCGTGCAGATACAGCCGCACTCGCCAGCGAAGTCCATATGCATCTTCAAGATATACATTGGAGCCTGTCATGTCAGTGATTGTCCTGGCAAATGGGAGTGGTATATCCTGCATTTGTAAAAACATACATACACATATTATGTTCTTGCGTCAAGTAAGTTACTGCTGAATATAAATACTAAATCATAGTCAACACATTTTCACTAGTGGATCTTATTCACTAAATATACAATGTTTTTTTGACAGATCTCAGACATCCAGTTCATTGCCAAATGTGGCATAAAGTGCTTGCACCAACAGTCATACCTAGGACTTGCCTAAAATACACATGGTGCCTGTCTGAATAAGCAAAACTACACTGAATCATGCAAAAAAGATGGAAATCCATACCATGTTCTCGGAGAAGTAACCGACCATGATCTTGAAGAAGGACGGCAGCGTCGGGGTCGGCCTAGCCTTCTCGGAGGAGGAAGAAGCCATGCCATGAATTCGGATGCATCTCTTCGTGCAATCCACGCAGGCTTTCTTCCTCTGAGGGTCACTGACCCTCTTCCTCCTCCTCTTCACCTTCTCGGTTTTCTCCTCATGGACGACGTCAGCTTTCTCTTTTCCATGGCTGTCAGCATTGCCCTCTTCTTGCTCTATCTTCGGCACTTTTATCAGCTCCACCATGCTTGCTAGCTGATGTCTGAAAGTGATCTCAAAAGAACCAACGATGAAAGCAAGAAGCAGAGGAAACACAAGATGCAATATTTGCTAATTTGCTGAATAATGTCATCTTGAGATTATCAACCAAGGTATCAAGAACCATTTGCTTCCTCTGATCATTCCCTATCTCCCATAATTGAGCTGCCTATATATATTCAGACATGCAGACATCGCTCAGGCCTCAAACAGAAAAAAAGAGGTGATCATTTGACTTAACACTAAAATGATCAACAGAAAAGGAGACATGCAAGGAAAAAGGATCAAATTATTGCTGATTTCTTCTCCCACAACGGAGAGCAGAGCAGAAGAGAGAGACCAACGAAAGGTTACAGTGGTTACACAACATAGAGTTATACTTCGGCCATTCCATCAATGCTTTTATGTTCGTCTCCCAAGAGCGAGAAAGTTACAATTTCCGTAGCCACTTTCTACTGTAATCCGTAGTACTAAAATTTCTTTTCGTTTTTTTTCTGCAACAATTGCAACACCGAACAACTTGGCCATCCTTCTCCACCTGGCGCATCGGGAAGTGATACCCTGGATGCTCCTCTTTGGCCTCCATCCTGACGAGTGATGCCTACAATTTGCATGCATGCAGCAAAGTGCCATCTCACTGACAGGTGGGCCCGAGGATGAGGGTCCCAGTGGCCAGTGACTGTGAACCGAGACCACGAAGAGGCCGGGGCTCTTCTCCGGTGATCCGATGACAAGGGTGGGTCCCGGCATCCCAGGTGACCGTGAACCTCAGTCTTCCTCGTTGTCATCACCGTCTGACAAAACTGGCTGGCTGCTCTTGGCGTCTAGTCCTCCATTTTTCTCATGTCCAAGATTGTACTGGAAAAGTGGAAATCGGAAGCAAAAAATTCGGCCAAAATTTTCATCCGTGGGTTGGATTGTTGCTGGGCTCTATCGTGATATGGGCCGAAGCCCATGAACTCTCTATGTAAGGCCTAGCAGTAGCAGAGAGCAGAAATTTCTCGTCGAAACCGAAGAGGAGACGGATCGTGCAAAAGGACTAGAATTCGTCGTGTCGCGTTGTCGCTGCATCCCATCAGCGAGCCGTACGGAGCTTTGTGTGCTGGAGGAGTTGCCGCGCTGGCGGCCGTTTCGTGGTGGACGGTGGCCGGCGGCCGGCCGGCCGGTCGGCCGTCCAGATCAACGCACGTACGTACGGTCCAAAATCTAGAACGGCAGATTCGTAGTGGTGTTACTGTTACTGAAAATAAGGACTAAATGACGCAGGAGGAAATAAAAAAAATAAGTATAGCTATATTTATGGCGCCATATTTTCGGAGTTGCTAGAAATATGGCGCCATATGCTACAGTCGATTTTTTTCAGCCACTTACACAGTAGTTACACCTCATTTACACCCCACTTACATATGTAATTAGTACGTAATTTTCGAATTTACATATGTAATTTTTGTACTTACATATGTAATTTTGAGACTTACATTATAAATACACTAAAATTACATATGTAATTTAGGGACTTATAATGTAAATACATGCCGACTATTTTTTGATGAAAAATATGGTGCCATAAATATAGCTACACCCTTCAGCCACTTACACAGTAGTTACACCTCATTTACACCCCACTTACATATGTAATTAGTATGTAATTTTAGTACTTACATATGTAATTTTGAGACTTACATTATAAATACACTAAAATTACATATGTAATTTAGGGACTTACAATGTAAATACATGCCGACTATTTTTTGATGAAAAATATGGCGCCATAAATATAGCTACACCCAATCGGAGTTGCTAGAAATATGGCGCCACATGCTATAGTCGATTTTTTTTTAGCCACTTACACAGTAGTTACACCTCATTTACACCCCACTTACATATATAATTAGTATGTAATTTTTGAATTTACATATGTAATTTTAGTACTTACATATGTAATTTTGAGACTTACATTGTAAATACACTAAAATTACATATGTAATTTAGGGACTTACAATGTAAATACATGTCGACTATTTTTTGATGAAAAATATGGCGCCATAAATATAGCTACACCCATAAAGGAAATAGTACTAGACTAGACACACACGGCCTCATCTTTTTGCATATGCTCAAATTTATCAACCAAATTTTGAATTTTCAACCTTAAATTTGGAGTTGATTTGAGGTTTTTTTATCGAAATTTATTTTTTAGTCTTTGCTTTTAAATCGTAAAGAACACGTATATAAAAGTTTTATTTACAAATTATTATTCGTTTGCAAATATGTCGTTTCGCTTATTCCCCGAATAAGCGAAACGATAGGGCCAACAATGACACCTACACTTCTTCCGTCTCATAGAAAAATAAAGTTAATACGAGATGTGACATATCTTGATAATACGGAGATAGGCTAATATGGAGTGTGACATATTCTAATGGAGCACTATAGATATGCGCTATATTTGTATTAGATTTGGTTTTTTTATAGAATGTAGGGAGCACCTGCTCTCCATTTCTCCCATACTCTATCAGTCCATCTTTTGGAACAACTTTTGGACCAGATGGGAATGCAGGTTAAACGATCAACACACACCAATAGTACAAAGCAATTAGGTGCATGCACGGATGCACCACAAATCAACACAAGGCACAGCACCATAAGCTAATCAAATTAACAATCCGAGAACTTTTTGACGGCTATAAAAAAGATCACGTCGAATTTGGTCGTATGTTATAAAACTCTAGCGGCGGCGTCTCCGGATTCGCCAAACCGCCGCACGGTTTTGCGGCAGAGGGGCCGGCCTGCCCGTCTCTGCGCTCCCGCATGCCGGCCGCTGAATCATCGTCAATCATCATCAGACACACTAGTGACTAAACACTCTACTGCTGCTAGTGGCCGTAACTTTTGCCTCGCGCAGCCCTAGGTCCCTAGTGCGATCGGCTGTTCGCTAAGACCATCTCAAACAGCATAGCTATCTCACTCTCCAAATTAAAATTTGGTAATTTTAAACTAAAAACGAGCTCCAACAGCTATTTGGCCACAGCTCAGCCAAAACTAGCTATTTGGCCAGCCAAAACTAGCTCGCCAACGGTGGGAGTGTGGGACCCACGCTCTCTCTCTCATCATTCTCTCTGCATATGTTGGACAATGGCGACGACAACGACGAGGCACGGCGGCAGGGCGGCGGACTGCAGCGAGGCGGCGCTGCAGCCGCCGGCCTCCGCTCGCCGCGACCGCCGGCCAGCCGCCGTCCTCCGCTCGCCGCGACAGCCGGCGCCACTCTCTCCTACCTCCGCCCTCTTCCCCGACGTCGACGAGCCGCCTTCAAGCCGCCGCCGCGCCGGCCGCCGCCGCTCCGGCCGCCGCCCAGCCGCCGCCCAGCAGGGCACGGCTGTGCCGACGCCGCCTCCGCCGCGCGCCGCCCAGCCGGGCACGGCTATGCCGACGCCGCCTCCGCCGCCCGCCGCCCCCTGCCGCACGCTGCCCAGCCAGGCACGGCTGTGCCGACGCCGCCTCCGCCTTGCGCCGCCCCCACCGCGCCGCTCCCCGCCGCCGTCGCCACCAGGCCGCCGCCCCGCCGTCGTGCGCCAGCCGTCGACCCGCCAATGAAGAACAAGAAAGGATCAAATTAGTTTAGTGGGGAAGAGGGGAAGAAATAGGAAGAAGAAGGGAGAGGCTGACATATGGTCCCAGTGTCATAGAGTTAAAGTAGAGAGGTAGATAAAGAGGCTGTTGGAGTAAACAACTAGTTTGACTAGCTAAATTGGATGGATAGTTAGCTATATGGGTGTTTGGAGAGTCCGATATAGAGAGGCTGTTGGTGATGTTCTGAGCGATACAAAAGGCTAGTAGCTCCCAAAGTACATGAACATGACCCTGCAGTGCTGCACAACTTGTCCAGGATTTCATGGCCAATTTGTCGATGCATTTTGGAGTTCAGTAAAGTAAATATACTAGCTCTTTTGGGAAGCAAAAAATTTAGGAACTAGTCATACTCATGGCGCCGTATTTCCCAACGGAAAATAATCAAATCTTTTTTACACTGTAGATTATATATTTACATTGCAATTATACTATAAATTTCAATACTTTCACTGTAAATTTCAAGGGTTATAATATAATTTTCCCAGTACTCACTGTATAACAGTATAAGAGAATCAGGATAAAACCAATTAATCACCTATTTAGAAGATATATGAATATACTTTCATACTATAAGAGAGAAGAACAATTACATAGGAAAAAATAGCTGAAATTAAGTAAACATTAAAAATTTCGTTTTTCGCAAAACTGAAATTTTATAGAGTTCTAATAGAAAACAGTCCGATTCTCACAAAAATCTTTTTAAATTCCTACATTCCAAAGGACTTTACCAATCTCTTTGATTTTTGAATAAAACTGGGAGGTTTTATGTGAAATTCTGGTAATCTAGACAGACAGAGTTTATCCAAGGTTCAATCAGCCATCAGTTGGGTGCTTGCTGAACACTACACGCCCGGTGCATCAATCAATTTGTTTGCTGGGGGCCAGCAGGCAAAGATATTATGCAAAGGTGTCGTGCTGGAGGCTTCAGGCTTGTGATTAACGTACGTTTCACCTAACGTAATCCATCATCATCTCTATCTTAAAGAATCTAAAGCCACACGGTTTTCGTCCTCCTGAAAGCTTGTTCGTTCGCGGATGTCGGAGCGTGGCAGCAATGGTCCAATAATCCAATTGCCATTTAGCGCATGATATGATAGTCTAAAGCGAATTGAAAAGAAAACAGAGAATCATCGACCCGGCCGTGCTGTCTGCGCCGATTGCTGCACCGCGAATTTGTCAAACAGCAAGATTGTTGTTTACTAATCAGGCGATTTGTTTATTAACGGTGCAACTAATGTGTGCATTAGGTGAAGCTAATCTTTTAGTTGCCACTTCTATTTCGGCCATTGACTTAATACTGAACAACTGCAAAAACTGTACTTATTAAGAAAAATATATATGTGTTGTTCTGTTTGTGAAATCATAATTAAACGGCAACAATTGTAGGTTAAATATGTTAATGCAAGGGCCTTGCTTCACTGAAGATCCTAAGCATCGGTATTAATATCAGAGGGCACAAATCTGCATCAAATAAAAATTAGATTAAAGATCATGGTTTTGAATACTAGTTAGAGGCTTGGAGCTAGCAGATCTTTGATCTGTTCCCAGGGTAACTCGTTGCCACCTGATAATAACAACTTCACTAGGGTGTACTACGTAATGACCCATACTTTCACTTTTAACCAGCAAAGCTAGTCTTACAACGAATACACATGACACATCCCTTTGTTACTGAAAATTTCAGAAAGCAAGAGAGAACAACAATCTATCTATTATATAATTAAAGGAATAGAAAAAGGAGCCTCCACGTTCGCTCTCATGGCCTAGAAATTCTCACATTAATCGGAGAAAAAGAAAAAAACAAAGTCCATATAGAAATACAATTTAGAAATAGCTGAAATTCGGAATTAAAAAATAAGGAATATTAGAGGAGGAGACTAGAGTCCATATAGAAATACACTTTAGAAATAGTTAAAATTCGGAATTAAAAAATAAGAAATATTAGAAAAAAAGAGTATAGAGTTCATATATAAATACAATTAGGAAATAATAGAAATTCGGAATTAAAAATAAAGAATATTAGAAGTAGAGTATAGAGTCCATATAGAAATACAATTAGGAAATAATAGAAATTCTGAATTAAAAAATAAGGAATATTAAAAGTAGAGTATAGAGTCCATATAGAAATACAATTAAGAAAAAAAATAGAAATTCGGAATTAAAAAAAAGAAATATTAGAGGTAGAGTATAGAGTCCATATAGGAATTTAAAAATAACTAAAATTCGGAAAAAAGAGCCTCCACGTTCGCTCTCATGACCTAGAAATTCTCACATTAATCGGAGAAAAAGAAAAAGTAGAGTCCATATAGAAATACAATTTACAAATAGCTGAAATTCGGAATTAAAAAAAAGGAATATTAGAAAAGGAGACTAGAGTCCATATAGAAATACAATTTAGAAATAGCTGAAATTCGGAATTAAAAAATAAGGAATATTAGAAAAGGAGACTAGAGTCCATATAAAAATACAATTTAGAAATAGTTGAAATTCGGAATTAAAAAATAAGGAATATTAGAAGAGGAGACTAGAAATAAAAAAATAAGAAATATTAGAAGTAGAGTATAGAGTTCATATTGGAATTTAAAACCAACTAAAATTCAAAATAAAAAGGAGCCTCCACGTTTGCTCTTATGGCCTAGAAATTCTCACATTAATCAGAGAAAAAGAAAAAGCAGAGTCCATATAAAAATACAATTTAGAAATAGCTGAAATTCAGAATTAAAAAATAAGGAATATTAGAAGAGGAGACTAGAGTAGTTATTACACATTAGTAGTTTTGAAAAGTTATTGCAAAATTTAAAATTATATTATCATTGTAATATATTTTAATAATATAATAAGAAAACATATATGCTATTATATGAGAAAAAATATAATGATGCTAGCCGCGCAACCTGCGTGGACCACAAACCAAAAGTAAAAAAAAAAGGCTACTGCTTTTCTTCTTTCTTTCCATGTAGTAGTAACAAACTAACAACCCCCATTATACCACAAATCAGTGTTCCACCACGATGGAAAAAGAGGAAGCATACGCGTCACGTTTTAACAGAACAGCCTTAGCTCGCCGACCTTAAGCACTAGGCACACACAACCATCGCCATCCAACGGAAAACCATCACGACGTAGGACAGCAACCCTCGCTACACGGCTCCATCACACGAAAAAAAACCACGAAAAAACGAGAGGCCGTGCACCGCTCCAGCGCATAAGCACGCACAAAAACACCGTCCACTTTAGGCCTCGTTTATTTCCCCAAAAGTTTTTTCTAAAAACATCACATCAAATCTTTTGATACATGCATAAAACATTAAATATAGATTAAAAGAAAAACTATTTGCACAGTTAGGGAGGAAATCACGAGACGATTCTTTTGAGTCTAATTAGTCCATGATTAGTCATAAGTGCTATAGTAACCTACATGTGCTAATGACGTCTTAATTAGGCTCAAAAGATTCGTCTCGCGGTTTTCAGGCGAGTTATGAAATTAGTTTTTTCATTCGTGTTCAAAAACATCTTCCGATCCAGTCAAATATTCGATGTGACACCGAAAAATTTTCATTTCGCAAACTAAAACATACCCTTAGCCAACGGGACCGGCCGAAATCCCCAGCGCCCCATGCTTGTTGTGACTTGTCCGCAGGAGTAGCCAGCCACAACCACCCACCCATCAACGCCCCCGTGCCGATGACCGCAAGATTATTCTGGAAGAAGCGTGCGATAATCCAAACGCCGGGTTGACCGATCGGGGAAGCATCCGTGATTAATCGAGCACGGCTGAGACCACGAACAGCTTCATCGGTTGGCCTAATAGGCTAAAACAGAAATCAAATTTTAATTATTTTAGAGCATGTTCACTTTAATGCTATTTTCAACCATACCATTTTTTCGGTAAAATTGCTAAAAAAATATATACATTTAGTTTGTTGCCAAATTTGATCAATATATAAGAAATCTTGTCAGGTTTATTTTGGTTACAATATGAAAAGGCTCTTAAATTTAATTTTTAAGTTTATTTTAAAATATTTTCAATGAAATTTCTTTTTAACGTTAGATTTTAAGTTACTATAATATAAACAAATATATACAAGTTTTATAACTAAGTTAACTTATTAAGAAATACGGGCAACCCATAAGACGGGAAGAATTCGGGTGGCCACTTGCAGGGTCGCACCGTTGCACGGCGGCGGCGAGAACCCACAGCCTCCCTGACTCGAAGCTGACGCGACCGTTTCGTGGCGATCGGGTTGGTTGGTTCCGATCCTTATCGCCCACCGAAGCCCAGCTCGGGCTAGGCTTGCCCTGGATCGGTTGGTGATGATTGCTGGCTCGCTCCGAAAGTTCCAGACGCGGCGGCTGCTTCTCCTTATCCGCAGCTCGATTTGTCTCGTTGATTTGGCAGTAAAACCTGCGCGGGTTTTCACCGGAACGGAGGGGGCAGGTTGCTCTGCTAGACGGGGATCCCTATGCTTGTGAGGTGAGGCGATTGTTTGATCCCAAGTACTAGGAGTATTAGCTGTTGTCAAGTTCGAAATATGGAGTAATATATGTAATCTCTAAATTAATAATATTTTGAACACGGCTTTCGGTGCAATATATCTGGAGCGTGAGAGCGATCTGGCTTAAGAACCATCGAAGAAATGGAATGGAATACTTGTGGTTTAGGGGGACAATCCTCCAAGGGAAACTGCTCCCAACTGTTTTCCTGAATACGTCATATACAAGTTGGAATCCAGCTCTGAATGCGTAGGGCGTACACAGTTCATCGTCTTATCGTAGATGGTAACAGTTGACAATTCAGCAGTAACCACAGGTTTTAAACTTTTAATTTATCACGAGGAAAAGGTTGTGTTCTGTTGGGGTTTGGAGAACTCAGGGCTCAAGATTTCAACTAAACATGTAGGAGTACCCTATCTAATCCTCGGTCTTCTTCTCATTTATTGTTCAGCTGTGACTGATGCGATATGGTCTTCTTTGATCTGCGATCACACCACGCCCAGCTTAATTTATTCCAACGGCTAATGGAAACAGATGTGAGATCATAGCTTGCCTCACCGAAAGTATTTTCTTCTCTTCTTTCTTTGATTCCAAGTCACAGTCACACGGGTCGGCAGCTGGACTAATGTAACGACCAAATGCGAAGGCGAAGCCCATACCCGTTCCTTTTCAACAAAAAATGGTTTATCATCTGTAATTACCTTATTCAGCATGCAAAATACAAATATACAATTATAGAGTTATCATGCACAAATTGCTCAGGCGAGAGCTCTGTGAACTTGTGAAGGACAGGTGCCAGAAATGCAGGGTTGAAAGGAATCTGGAATTATAAAGTTGGAACTTTTAAATTTTTTTATAAAGTTGGATAGGAGTATAGGACACAGAAAAAAGCCCTCATCCTCAGGCTCAGCTGACCACTTGATCATCAGCCTGGCCTCCACTCTCCAAGGCCAGAAAGAAAATTACAATTTTGTAATTTGAAGCTAAAATAACACTACTAGTGTCATACA